GGTCATTATGACTCGAATGACACTCGGATATGTATCCGAGTAATTCGATGCAGTTTTAAGATTACCACCCTACCAAGCTGACATGCAATTTCTGTTCAACAAGTCATAACCTGGTGAGATTTTGAGCGACCCGAGACCTAAAGTTTGGCAGAATGGAGTAGGTTCATTCTGGTACCTCTTGAACGATCAGAGGAAAGGTTACATAAAGTGGCAAACTGAGAAATCAGTCTCACATACAAATTGCGAAACCCAGTGGCACCGGGCGACTGTGTATGATTAACATTCAGCACAGTTAGTGTTGTTGGGACCCCGGGATTATTCTGGACCCACTACCCGGACCGGAGGAAGCAGTCACTGACTACTGGAGCGGAAAGCGGTGTGGGCGCGCAAGCGGTCAGGATTGGCGCGGACTTCTGCACAAATCCAGTGAAGAGACATTCAGCTAGTGGCTAGGCGGGAAACATGGATCCCGCTTTCCTACTTTGTGCGAGCTTCACCAGCCGACTGCACTAGACAGGCAACCCCTTCCCACCAGCGCCTGTAATTATAAACAACTGACACAGGATTAAGGCTCCCCTGGTCCGTGGAAGCGGAAGGGAATGACAAGCAGCGGTGGAAACACAGTCCCCAGACTACATGTCGTGACATGACCGCTTCCCCTCCCTCCCACTCAAAGCTAGCTTCTTGCACATGTGACAGTTCGTTTGTTGTGTTTGATGACGACCCCTTGGGATCATTAGTGGGATGATGTGCTGGGAGTGATCTTGGTGTAAAGAGTTCTGCAGGCGAGCCCTTGCCTCGCCGCCTAATCCACAGCAGTGATCTCCACCGGCAGGACAGGCCCTGAACAATTAGATATGAGAGTGAGGACAATGGACGATCGGGACACTTTGCGTTCTCCGCCATCATGGCCGCTGAACACGTACTGAGCCAGCCCTAATGTGCGCTGTTAAGCGTAACCGTGGCGAAAAATAACAAGCAAAAAAGGGGTGAAGTAGACACTTTGACGTTCTGCTACGGCCTTAGCAGTTACCGGTATGTGTGGTCACTGAACACACATCAGCTTTCTGGAGTTCAGGCGGCTGATAGGCGCGATGAAGGACTGGTGGCGAGCAGGCGAGATTACCAAGCTCCCTCACTCAATTGTCAGTGTCGGCAAGGGTATGGTTTGTGACCGGGGTGACTTACTTCGGGGAGCATTTGTGTTGAGCAGCTAAAAACTCTGTGGTATCACAAACTGCGATCCTCAATGTTGTCACCAATTAAAAGCCGACACTATTTCTACCCTTTAATAATATTAATAACAATAATAGTAAGTGGAGTTAATGCCTCTTTGCAACCATTGTCAAAAAGGTATCACACTATCGTATTTTTACTCCGATGCCTACCTTAAAGAATCTTGACCACTCTCACGTAATAGTCGCCAGGAGGTCTTGTTACTCCCTTCTCGGACACGTACAAATAAATATCACCAGTCATTTTCTTTCAGCACAATTTCTCCTCGGAGTAAGTAACCCCGGTCATAAACCATACCCTTGCCCTAGCGTCCACAGCCAACCGTCGCCGACCAATAAACTGCCCAACTGGCGTGCGCATGACGACTCCCACACCCACGCAGTCACGGCTGGCGGCATCCAGAGACGGTCGGGACTCGGCGCCCCCCCAAGTGGCCGCTCGCTTCAAATAATCTCCACCCTCATTGCTGTCTGTCATAGCGGAAACGATATAGCCTTCAGTCATGATGTTTAAAAACCCGGACGAGGCCCGCTGCTGGCACGATTCCCTGAAGAGGAGGAAGGGTGGTTGAGCACCGGAACATTCTGTTTATTCAATCGGGAATGGGCGCACACCGATCTATTGGCTTCACGAAGCAAACAAGCTCCGTATGAATGGCAAACGTCACGAACAGGCAACCAATTACCAGGCCGAAGTCGGCCAAGTCATAATAGCAGCGAGGTGCGCCAGGTGCGTCTGTGCGCATGTTTGTGTTTCTGGTCCCAACTGCTGGTGGTCAGGGTTATGATTGGCTGAGTGAAGGCACAATAAGCCCGAAACAGTACTGTATCAATCTACCTGCATTCTCTGTCGTCCCTCCTCGCTGCTATTCGGAGCTTTCGAACTCCTGTAAGAGTCCATCGTCGGAGATAGTAGCAACAACAGGACTCAGTGAGAGGAACAGTTTCATTACACTGTGACGCAAAAAAGGATCTCACCCTCCGAAGCACCAGTGGATTTTCGTTCTGACTCCGTACAAGAAGTGGATAAGCTGGCATACGACGCCAGTCAGCATATAAAAATGACGCGCACGGCAGCTGTGCGTGCGAGTGGTTCATCAAAAAACGTTCGCCCAGAGAACAGGTCG